TTTGAGTTTGAAAGTCTTGATTGATCTCTAATATGCTGGAGCCTTTTGGTTGTGATTGCCTTATTTTCTTTCCACTTCAATCCACTTGTTGGTTTGAAACCAACATCCCAGTTACAATAGTTGATCTCAAAACTCCTTTTGGTCCAGCTAATATTCTGCTACTTGGAAATCTAGGCTACAAACTTTTTAGAGAACTAAGGTTATTATAGAACAAATGTGTAAGTCATTAGAGAATAAACAATATGAATGCATCACAATACTTATATTGAAAGTTTTGAAACCATTTTCATCTTTAAACACACCCATTCCACCTAATCTTGGCCTTTAAATTAAGTTGTGTTATTAACACTCTTTCCTTTCCTGGAAGTAGAAGTTTCCTTTGGTGCAACATTTGTGTTATGGTCTACATCCTGTGATGTACTACCTTGAGAACATGTAAACCAACTTTCAAGTGGACGATTACTACCTCTTCCTGCACTTCCCAATCCCCTACCCCTTCCTCAACCACTCCTGGTTCTTGATGATACTCCAACACCATTTACACTTGCACTTGCTTCATGTGATGGTGTTCTTGAAGTTGTAGGAGGTGCAGTAGTTCGAGGTGAAGCCCTTGATGCACTTCCAGTTGTTGTAGCTCTTGGTCTCTTGAAGTTGTTAGAGGTGCATTAGTTCTAGGTGAAGCACTTGCACTTGGTGTAGCTCTTGTTGTTCTTGAAGTTGTTGGAGGCGCAGTAGTTGTAGGTGAAGCCCTTGATGTGGTTGCACATGCATTTTTGCTTTTAGGTCTGTCTCTCTCCCTTTTTGCAACATGCTCACCCTCAATATTTATTGATTTCTAATTTTAAAAAAAACATATATTATATTAGTAAGTTGGTTAGACTTTAAAAGTAACAAAATAGTAAGGTACCTTTGATCTTCCCCTTCCCTTTTCTTGAACTTGATGGTTCTTCAACATTTGAAGTAGGGGTAGATCTCTGTTCCCTAGAAGTAGAACTAACTCCATCACTCATTCGTAAATGACAACTTCTTTTATTGTGACCTATAACATGACAAAGACTACATGTCATAGTTAGTCCAGTTCTAGACAGTTTACAAGACATCTTAGTTTCACCAACCTATTTCCTTTTTAACTTTTTAGGCCTGCCTAACATTTGTTTTATCACTAGTGGATCAACAAGAGGGTTTCTTGATTCTGGCCATATTGGCATGTTATTCATAGGATGTATGAAATATGAGTAAGTCATCAAGTACCTCTCTTTTGAGTAGCATGGATGAATGAAATCATGTGGGTGATATTGTTTATACAACATTACAGCTAAGGCATGTGCACATAGTATTCCTTTTAACATCCAAGATCTATAACTACACTCCCTCTTTGTCAAATATACAGTGTGTTGTTTGTATCCATTCAAAACTTCATATCCAATTATTCCATTAAACTCAATGTTACATGCCATTGACTTATCAATATTTTGTACTAATACTTTCATTGCCATTGGAGAGAAATTGGTTATCCAAGAGTTTGGAAATTTACTTAACCTACTAACCTTGTAATGACCTTAATCCTTATCTCTTCAAGCATACTAATAATGGTTTTATGCCTTGCAGAAAAAATCCAAGCATTAAAGCTCTCACACATATTATTATCTACTGCATCAGAGTTGACTTCACAATTAAAATACACCTTGCACCAATTTTTTTATCGTAGTAAATTAGATCATCGACTACGCATGTAACTCCACTACCTAATTTAGACAACTCATGCAGATTTTCTCTGAATTCAGCTTCAAATTACTTCTAACACACTTCCAGAACTGCTTCTTCCTTTGTAGCCCTCCCCAGTTCTTTGACCAATTTGCTAGTATATGCCTAGCACACCTTTGTGGTATGTTTTTTCCATTTTGTGTTGGGCAGTTTAACTTCATTTTTTCACCTTCCTCTAGACAACTATCATCTGTGTCGCGCCCCATTTTCGCAGAAAACGAGTTTTGTGCACGACCTAACAACTCTTTTGGAATTTTCGAGTTCGAGGAGTCGCCACCTAACTAATTAAGGCGCGTTAGGGCACCTATCTAACCTAACTAAGTCTAGCTAAGGTCAGCGGGCCAGAGATTAGGGTAAGGGTTCAAATTACCTCGAGGGAAAGGTGTTAGGCATCCCTCGAGGTCCACAAGTGTGGGTCCCGGCCGTATCTCATGCAATCTATGTGGGGGTTACAATTATCAATCAAGGTCACTTCATTTTATTGATTTTTTTAATCTTTCTAAGTGATAAAAAATACAAAACAATTAATACTATTTTTCATTAATTTGAGCATGCAAGGCTAGGTGATAGCAATAAATAAACAATTAAGTTTTATTTTTATTAAGCATGTGAGACTATGTTATAAACAAAATTTATAAATATTAAGCAATTAATATGTGAGAAAGTAAAGTTATGAAAATTGAGCAAGTTTTGAATATAAATTTTTTATTTTTTTAAAAAATGTTTGTTTCTTTATAGGGATGATGTCACGATATTGTTGATCGCGCTCCTCCACCATAGAAACAATTTTGATTTGAGGTCGGTCTAAAAATAGCTTATGTTTTTTGAAAATGATTTAAAAGATTTAGTTTACATGTAGGCACATAAATATTTACACATAAATGCACATAATTCTTTTTGAAATTCATGGGTAGGTGGTACTTCCGAGGATGCGTCGGTTTAAAAATTGGAACTAGACCTCATAGTTCCTTTGACTTTCCCACTAACGATAGGTTAGGAGATAGTACTTATAATTTATTTCAAAAATAATGTCATAATCAATCCAAAATTTCAAAGGAAGATTGAATAATGACTTTTAAGAAAATTATGTTGCAAAACTTTGTAAGTACTAAAAACTAGTAGAACATTAAGGTGGTAAATTTATTAAATGCAAAGGTTTTACAATGAAATCTATTTAAAGCCAAATAATTTGTTCAATGCATGAAATGATTTTAGTATCATTATTATTTTAAGAAAATAACACATTGCAAGGAATGCGGAAATCTTCAAGAAGACAAATGGGATTACTCATGAAATAATATTAACTAATTTTAGGGGGAGGGCACAAATATGCACAAACAAGTTCTATTTTTTATGGATATGTTAAAAGTTTATTTACAAGCCTATAGACATGATAACTAGGTGTTCAAAAAAAGTAACACATATATGCATAATTTTGTGAATCTAAATGATATGAACAAGTTAATATTTAGGCATGACAAGACAATGCTAAAAGTTATAACACCTAATCAGCCTACTAAATTATTATGATTTGATTTTAACATTCAAAAGTTAATGGAATCTAGTTATTATTTTTTAGACTTATTAACAAAGCATCAAACAATTGATTGGATTATAACACCTACAAAAAATAATTCTAGGTGGTTAAAGACAAACCTATAGGCATTATTTCTAAAAATTTACAATGAACAAGTAGGCATGTAAATCCCCCTCCCCTAGACGACCCCCCAAATAAATTTATATATATGATCTTTAGAGTTACAAATGTTACAACATTCAAATAAATAAAATAGGAAAAAAAATATATGTATATACATTCAAATAAACAAATAAATCTTTCTTCAATTAATCTTCAACTTGAACTTCAAGTTTGAAACCTGTCAAAGCAATCAAATAACTACACAAGTAATCACACTTATTAGTCAAGGTGAGACAATATGCAATTGTTTAGTGATAAATTCTACATATAGAAAAAAAAACAATAGCTTACACAAATGTGTGAATGTAAAGATAGTGTGAATGTTAAGAATACTAACCAGTTAAGCAAAACAAATTGATTCAACATTTACTCGAACAAAGTAGTAAAATAGCGAAGAAGAACACTTGAATAATTACCGGATTCTTAATGTATTGTTAGACTAGCAAGAGAGCAATGAGAGAAGGGAGAGTGATGAGAGAATTTGTGATTGAGAGTGAATGAGTGTATGAGTTAATTAAATAATGAAGGGAGGGAGTCTTATTTATATATCAAAGAGGGGAAAACAAATAAGGAACAGAAATATTTAAAGGAATCAATTAAATATATTGTTTTCCTTATTAAAAGAGGACCAAATAAGAAAATTTTAATATATTTCATTACCAAATATAAACAAGTAAGAATAAATTGATAGAGTAATATTTTTTCACAAATAAAGAAGAATCCAAAATCAGAAAATATTTAATTATTTTTACCAAATATAAACAAGTAAGAAATTAGCCTTTATCTTATATATATTTTTACCAAATATAAATAAATAAGAGAATATCAACTTTCCCTAATAAGGTAAGAAGTTACTAATTAGCCACACTAATCAAATAATTAGTCAAATCACTATCAAAGAGATAAGCAAGAAAATTTACCCGAAATTCAGCAAGGAAAGAAAACTCTTCTTGATACGAAGTATATAATAGTCAACTTAATGATCATCAAGACAAGAGAAAATATTTTAACAATTAAATATCATTGAAGGAAAAAAGTCATGATAGACATATTTCAAATTAACTTAGCCAGAGAAAATCAGCCAATACCATATTGATTTTCTGAGGAGGTAAGAGATTGCAATCACAAATAGAAGACAAAATCAATTAAAAAACCAATTGAACTAAATTATGCATCAGATTTAACTCCTAATAAATCATGACTAGCAGCAAGTAAATTCATATTAACAGTGGACTCACCTATATGAGAACAGATTAACAGAAATAATTAAGCAAGTTCTGGAAAAATAGAAGAGTCACATTAGAAGAAAGATCATATTTCAATTTTGCGAAAAAAAATGTTAGAGCAAAAATATATAAAAGTATAAATGCATCAGTTTGTATATCATTGCCACGCTTGAATATGATTTTATCATTATACTTAATATGTAAAAAGTCAAACCGAACTCAAACAAAATGAGATGATAATTGAAAGAGGGAACGAACATGGATGGACCTGTTGAGATCCATCTTTTAACACGAACTTCATTGGAGATGAGATGAAGAGAAGACGCTGGCACTACTGCTGGTTGTCGTCCGCTGCTCGCTTGGAGAAAGAAAGGGGGGAGGGGAGCAGCTGCTGTCCGTTGTTAATGCTGCCGGTCGGAGATGCTGCCTGTCGCTGTTTATTGCTGCTGCTGGTGGCTTCCCATCGTGCTGTCCTGGAAAAAGTAGAAACGAAAAGGATGAGGAAGGGGAAGACAGAAGGGGAGATGGAGAGAGAGGAGAAGGGGCGAGGGGAGGAGAGAAAGAAGAGGTGGGGCGGAGAGGCGCCTGAAGATTGTTGGGTGCTGCTGCTGCTAATGCCAGTAGTCTTCCCGGTACTGCTGTTCTCGCCGGCAAAATGGAGGGGAAGGGAAGGAGAAAATTGTGCGACGGGAGGGAGGCAGAGAGGGAAGGGGAGAGGGGAGAAGAAAAAGAGGGAAACGAGGAGGGGAAAAGGGAAAGGGAGACGAAAGGGACAGGAGAAGAAGGAGGGTGGCGCTGGAGAGAGGAGAGGCACCTTGCTGGTCAGAGAAAGGGAGAGAGAGAGAGGGGCGACGGGAGAGGGGAGAAGAAGAGAGGGCGAGAGAGAGGTGCAGTGGCTGGTGAGGAAGGAAGAGGAAGAAGAATTTTAGGGGATAAGGTTCTTTTGGGGTATTAGAAAATAGGAAGAATAAGAGAATAAATCTTGATCGTAGAACTAGTTTAGATGAGTGGTTAGAATTTAATCTAGGATTTAACTTAAAGGATGGATGGTTGATATTAAAAGATGGAGTCTTGAAATCAAATTGGAATGGCTAAAATTCTAATGAAAGAGGGGCTATGATTGAAATAAAAATTGAATTAGAGTGGCTAGAATAGAATAGGCTAGAATTTAAATAATTTTATCGAAAGTGTAGGAATTACTATTTAATTAAAATATTACATATATTAAAATATTTTTGTATAATTAAAAATCATTTAGATTTTAAACATTTGAAATTCATCAATAATTTTAAAATATTTTTATAATATTTACGATAATTTTATAAAGTTAAACATATTAAAAATATAATTTCCAAGAACAATCGACTTGAAATAAATTTTAAAATACGTATTTAATCGAATAGTATCCCTAAAAATGGTTAAAGGTCAGTCAAAATTGGGTGTCAACAGCTGCCCCTTGGTTGATTGAGAATGAAGAATGAATTGTCAGGCAACCAACGTTGACTTCGTAGCCAATTTTGTCCGACCGACGAGAGATGTCAGTTGGATCAATTGAAACGATATAGAGTTGAAAAAGGGTACGACCGAGACTTTGGTTTAAGTCGCCTACATATCTCTGATTATACGAGAATCAGGTCGTGTGTAGTTCTATATTCAAGAGCAAATGAAACTCTTAAAAGTTGAAAGAACGCTAAGGTGTTTGAAAGGCACGATATCGGCTTGAATAGATAAGATTAGAGTAGCGAGAAAAGAGAGATAGAGTGGCTAAAAGAGCATGACAGAGAAGCGAGAAGAGTATGATAGAATAAGGTAATCAGCCTTTGAGCACGGTTCAGAGTATCAGAAGCGAAGAACTGATAGAGTCATTGTTGTGATAGAGGATAGCATGATAATTGTAATCAAGGGCGATCGATTATATCTGTAAATTCTAGATAAAATGTTAGCTTATAAATAGATAAAGTATGACCAATAGTAATAAAATATGAGTTCTAGACAAGAGGTGATAAGGAACGTATCTGTTTGAGACGTAGTGCGAGCCTTGATAGTCTTTAACTTCTTGAAGGATTGAAACCCATCTTTGAAGAATAACGTCAAACTCCAAAATATTTGATAGTATAAACATATAATAATAATATAAGCAAAATATCTGGTTGTAAGGAGAGTCTAAACGTCCTTTTAAGGCGGACGAGCCTAAACAACATATTTTAAGACGGAAAAGCCTAAACATTCTATTGTAAGGCGGAAGAGCCTAAATGTCGTATTGTAAGGCAGACGAGCCTAAA